ATGTCCGGATCGGATCGCCGGGTAATTGACCGGACAAGATAGGGACCGTCGGGTTGTTAGCCGGACTAGACTAGAACTGACACCGGAGCGGGATCGTATCCAGGGCCATCTTTTAGGAGGTGCAATAGGTGCTTCGCACCGGGGCCTACTCTAGTAGAGGGCCTCCAAAAATTGAGAGGGTAGTATTAGTTGAAGGTTGATTTTTCTAAGATGTCATGTATTATTCAAGATTCCAGAAGACATATAACCTTTAAATTCTCTAATCTATGCACTTTAAACATCATAAAATTTATATTTCATTGAATTGTCTAAACTATTGTGCTTCATTGTCAAAATTTGTATTTTTTCTTGTCTTAGGGACCTCAATTTGTCATTTGGAACCGGGGCCTCCAAATTCATTAGACGGCCTTGATCGTATCCACACTACAATAAAATTGATTTATAGAGGCATAACAAATTTGCCTCTAAAAATAGTAAATTAGCCTCTAACTAGTGTTGTACCTATGCCGGGAATATATATACAATTGATATGAAATTCAAATTAAAAATAAAGAAAATTTTGAAAACATTAAAGAGAAAATAATACTCCGTAAATAATATAATATCACCATTACACATATAATTAAAAAGCACAACCAATGCAGATTAATATTTGCATATACAGTATATGACAACAATATATATCCAAACTCAAGTACTCAACAATTTGTTATTTATAAATATATTTCACCTCCAAATATTATGGACGTTTTAAATTTTAATGCCAACGTGTCAATGATATATCCAATTTTGTGTTAAAATAACATCACTTGCAATTTTGTATTTAAATTGAAATGAAGATAGCATTGAAATTTGGTAGAATGTATAAACAGAAATTTACATTAATTTAGGGACAAATAATTAAAATACTCCACATTTTAAAGAGGTGTGAGGTAAACATCCTAAACTTGCATGTGCAATTTCAATATCTTGATCTTTATATAAAGATATAAAGAGTTATGTTAGTACTATGAACATCTTAAGCATATTTTTACCATAAATATATATATAAATATATATATATATATATATATGATCATAATTTTTAAATTAATAATATGGCCATGGTGCTAAATTAACTTTTTATGTCAAGTTTGAGGTATATATGGTACACTACAAAAAAACACGGATTGGCGGAGATTTTGGCACGGATTTGACACGGATTTTGGCAGGGATACGCCAAATCCGTGCCAAAAACACTTTGGCACGAGCTATTTGGCACCAAAAATTGATAAGTCCGTGTCAAATTCCGTGCCAATCCCGCCTTTTTTTGTAGTGGTATCTTAACCATTTATAGTACGGAGTAAGATATGGTAAATAACATATTTAACAATTTGTAGTAATACAATACACTAATACAGTTGGGATAGCAGGTAAAGTTAATAACTTAAAATTAAAAAAATAAAACAGCCAAACAATTTGTGTATAGATTTCGATATGTTGCTAAAGATCAAATACAATAACCAAACGTAAATACGAATCAAACTGAGAATGTTCAATATTCAAGTGCCTGCTTCCCCCTTTCTTTTGTGAACCATGCAAAACATTTAAAATCCCGACTATGTTGCACGGAAACGCAAAAATCATGAGGAAACGGGAAACGGGAAACGGGAAACGTCAACTTTTGCTCAAAAAAGGCTTATTTGGAGAGTTTCCAAAGAGTTTCCGAGAGTTTCCGAAACGGAAAACGTACCCTTTCCCGAGAGTTTCCGTGCTACCTAGAATCCCGAGGCTGGCTGGTTTTATATATGGCTAGGAAATGTCAATCTTGCTATTAGTCTTGAATCCAGAGAACATCTTCATTTTGACTCTAGCTTCCTGTAGAAAATATTTATGTACATCATGCACAACAGAAAATTAGACAAATCTTTAGGTTCCATCTCCATTTTCTAAACTTCCATTTTAGGCTAAAACTATCCTCAAATTAAATGGAAATATTCTCTTCTACCCTTTTCCAATATCATGTTCTCTTTTTGTTGGATTTCAATTTACTTTAGTGAAATATGGAGTAGAAATTAAGACGCCCTTCAGCTATTGGATTTTTACTGTTTGATCCAGTTCAACTTGCATTGCTTTCCATTAGTTTCCAATTACAAAACTAATTTTTCCTTCTTCCATTTATGAAATTAAGGATGTTTTGTTTTGGACTGAATTTTGCCGGTCTGGTCTGGTCTGTTAAATATCTGGTCTCTGTGTATTTTAAATGGCATTTTAAATTTATGAGAAGGCAATATTATATAATTGCCACCCATGTTATGTATGTCATCAATAATATAAATATCAAGGTCAATCACGGGGAAAGGATGAAACCTACCTGCCTAGACCTATTTTAGTCATGGAAACCCTTATGTGACATTACCGAGGGTCAAAATGGATGGATAATCTTGATAGATGATAAGGAGAAGAAATCAATAGACATTAGTCACATTACCACTAAAAGTGGTCTTTAAAGTAATTTTTCAAAACCATTAACAATTACGTTGAATATTTCTATGAATGGCGTCAATTGGAGCGGAGCCAGGAGACTGGGTCAAACTGGGCCGATACAAAGAATATTTTTAGAAAAAATTTTACACAGAATTTTTTAGGGGTTTGTCCTCAAATAATACTAATTAAAAGCATTTGGACAAAAAAAGTGACTTTTCTTTTAAGTTCCAAAAATAAGACTAAATAATACTTAAGGGACTATTACACCCTTACTAAGCCCAAACCCACTGGTCTGCTACAGTAACTCGTCACAGTTACCAAATGTGTAGTGACCAATGTTACAGTTACCAATGACATAGTTACAAAATTAATCCAGTGACCAAAAATAATTAGTGACCAAACATCCAAAATTCCTCAGTGACCAAAAATCATTAGTGACCAAACACCCGAAATTCACCAGTGACTAAAAATCATTGGTTCCGTCCCGTGACCAACCGACACAGTGACTTCCGTCCAGTGACCAACCGACACAGTGACTTTCGCCCAGTGACCAACCGACAGAGTGACTTTTGCCTAGCGACCACCACTAATCACAATTACTCACCCTGTCATTGACCACAGTGACTACCACCCACTTACAATGACCAACAATCGATTACAATGATCAACAATCGATACAATGACCATCAGCCTGGTCACCGTGACCACCACCCTAGAGCTACAGTGACTAATTTTCGATTAGTAACCACTCGGTCAATTACCCACCACCCAGTTACCCACCAGTGTCAATACAGTTCTATGCTATGGTTACATTGCCTAACTTCCAATCTATCTACACAACGACACTGCCGTCCACCACCGCAAGCCACCACCTGTCCCTGCTCCAACACCACCGGCGACAGCCCCACCAACCGAACCAGAACCCCCCTGCCCTTACCTAGCCCCTGCCCACTCCCTAGCCTCTCAAGCCCTCCCGGCCCCTGTCTCCGCCTGCACCTTCCTAGCCCCAGGCCGCCCTCCCCCAACCCCTGTCACATGCCAATGTCCCTGCGACCCACCACGATCTATCCCTTCTCCAATAACCTCTATGACAGTGAAATGTCATCTGATGTGGCATCTCACCAACATTGCGATCGGAAAATTGAAACTCTATCACCATTGATTTGGATTCCCTCAACCGTAGCACATAGGTGGGGCTTAGATCTTTGTCGATGTTTGCCTAGGTTGGGAGGGTGGTTGTTTGCGGCGAAGAAGGCGACGAAAGAAATGAGAAGAAGAAGAAGAAGAGAGGTTGAAGCGGCGGCGGTGATGACCAATAGGCACCGACAGCGAACAGGCGGTGATCAATAGGCGGCGACGGTGACGAAGCGACAGCAGCGATGCAGAATCAACAACAACAAAGAGTTTAAGCGGCGACGGCATTTGGTATGGGATACGGAAGAGGTGCAGAGAACATATCTGTAATATTCATTAGGGTTTTTGTTAAAACGGAGTAATTTATATGAGGGGTAGTTATGTCTCTTTACATCCAAATAGTCTCTTTTTTGTCTAAATTCGAAAGTAACCCCATTTTTGTCAAATGCTATCCTGGAAGTCTTACTTGCGTCATTATTTCAATTTTTTACCCTAAAAATTTAGACATTTTTAATTTGAACTGGGTCAGGGTGGGCCCACCCCTAGTTTCCGCCCATGGTGTCAAACAGTCAAATTATTTGACTTAATATTCTTTTACAGTTTTACTTGGTATTTATTGCATGGATTTATACTTTTTTATACTCATTGTCTCAATCATTGTACTCCTTTTTTGAAACGATATAAGAATATACGTAGTAAAAATATCCTAATTTTGTATTTAATCAGTTCATGAATAAAAATACATGTGCTCATTGCTTTTTCCCATGCGCATGTACGGGTAATGGGTGCCATATTAGTTATACTAGTACATGCTAAAACACAAACCATAAAGTCATTCATATTCAGTAGGAAGAAGTAAAAAAAACAACCTAAGGACACGTTTACTTCATTTCTTAGTAAACGGTGTTTAGTAAGCCTTGCCTTAGTAAGCCGTTGTTTAGTAAGGAGTGTTTAGTAAGCCATGTTTACTTCATCAAAAATTCAGGCCTAATTAAACAAAAAGGCCATTTAATTTCACTGGACTTCAAACATGTCTTACGTATAAAATGTCAAAAATAACCCCCAATCAGATAAACCTAGCCGATTGTATTGGATAACTATCTCCGGAAATTTCCAACGCTTCTCGAAATTGACGATCAGGGCATATGCTTTCTTCTTCTTCCATTTTTTCCCAATCCGTGTCCATCTCCATTAAGGTACGTAATACTCTCTCCATTAAGAAGCTTTATTAAAGTAATATTTTCTTCTTACTCCAATGATTTTGACCATTCCAGTGACCTTGATTTCGTATACTATATGCATCATATTATCTTCTCCATTTCCAGTTTATATATATACTGGTCATAAAATAAGGGTATGATGGTCAATATAAAATGGCTTAAGTCAACAGTTAAATAAAACAGGGGTAGGGTGAATTGTTTAGCAAGCATTTATTTACCCAGCCTAAAATGTTTACTTCAAGCTTCTTAGTAAACTAACGGTGATTTAAACAGCCAAGTAAACAGGTCCTAAGTGTTTAAAGCAAAAAATTAACATTCCAGTTAAATTACAACACTAAGAGAAAAAAAACATAATTCTTGCAAGTTCAAGATACACGAGCAAAAAGATTTCTCTAACAAGACATCACGTCTCACTGTCTCAGAAAAGGTCTTGTTATTGAAATGCTTCCCCAAAGTTCCAAGGACTTAGCAACGACTTATTGAACCCTGTAAAAAAAATGAACGTTCGTAATATATCAATACCCTAAAGTGTCTAGAGAAAACCGTAGAATCAGATTTTTTTTTTTTTTTACAATTCTGCTATTAAAGCGTCAAACTTCAACAAGTTGAAGCAGCCGATCCAAAAGTGAATGATCTTCCACATTTAAAAGTGGGAATAGTTAACAAGGCTCTAGTAGTTTATCATGTAGTAGTACTACGTAACAGTTATAAACTATGTAGCACCGATACCGGTAGCGGAAACGCGGTATGGGGATACCGGATACGTCAAAACCAAAAAAAGTAGGATACGGATACGGGACCATGTTTATAAATATCAAAAGTTATGGGGGTGTATTTACAAATATTAAAAGTTATAGGGGTCTATTTATAATTATTAAATATAGATTTTTTTTGAAAATATATACCAAGTATATATATATATATATATATATATATATATATATTATATATATATATATATATATATATTACCCATTCATTGCATTGAAGCATTTTCCTTTTTCAAGATACTTAGTAATAAATTCATAATATTTCTCATATACACTAGTGCATCTCGAAATATAAATGTAGTCAATAAGTCATTAATTTAAAATGAGAAATAAGTCAAACAACTACAATCTTGAAATTAAAAGTGCAAGTACCCAATTCGGAGTATGAGTTAATGACTTAATTCGGATATAGCCAAATAGGCCCATTATTTGATTACCAAGTAAAATGTAGTTTTAGATTTTCATTTTTATAGAATTTTATTAAGTAAATTTTGGGATTTAAAAAAAAAAGTTGATACGGGCAACCGTCCTTTTAAAAATTGCAGATACGGCCCGGGAACATACGGTACGGGTATCCTAGAGTATCGGATACAAGAACGTATCTGATACGCTGATACGCTACCCTAGGAAAGTATCCGTGCTTCATAGGTTATAAAGATATAGGCTGGAAAACAAGAAACAATGGCCTCAATATTACTTGTGGACTTTGTGTAGACCAAAATATGAGTAAATCTGATGTTGACAAAAATGTGACCATTTTATTCTACGCGGTATCTCTTCTCAAAGCTGATCTTTTGACCGTTCCATTTCCCCAAAGCTGTGTCTCTTCTCTGCTTCGTATCTTCATACGCGGTACTCCATACATCGGGCTTTTCATCTTCAGCGCCTCACCAATCGCCTGAGCCGCCGGTCATCGGACCAGTGCCGCCGCCCGCCAAACGTATGTGCATCGCCGTCGACTCCAGTCGTCACTACATCGCCTCCGCCGTTAACTGCCAATCTGCTTCGATTGGATCTGCTTCAGGCGCGAACTGCCATCTTGTGGTTATGCTTCTGCGTAGGCGATTGCTAGCGGAGGCGGCTTAAAAATTGGGGTTTGGGATGGGGGCCTAAGGCTGTTGGCTATAGGTTGGACGGCGGGCAGGTTACGACGATGGTGGTGAGCTACAGATTGGGGCTAGGGTTGGGAGTGACGATTGGGAGCCCAGGCTGAATGGTGGCGATGTTGACCGACGGCGCTGGCTTTGCTGGTGGTGTTGACTGGCGGCAAGGTAAGGTCGGTGAATGGCAGCTAGTCTATTGGGGGTGCTACTGGTGGTTGTTGAAAGCTTAACGTCAATTGCGCAGTGGATGGGCTTGAGAGGGGGGGCTGGGGGGCTGCGAAGGGAGATCGATGATGTGGCGGTGATCAGAGTAAATTCCGGAAGGGAGCGTCACTGAAAAATCGGGCCTCATTGGGTGGCGGCGACGTCACTATGATGTGTCGCTGTGGCCAGCGGCGGTCTTTGGACGGAGGTGTTTTCTGGTTGGCGACGGTCACTCATGGGAGGTGGTGATGGATGTCACTATGTTCGTGTCATTGTACATGTCACGGTGGCAGTGGCGGTAGTGTCACTATGGTCAGCGTCGGCAATGACACGCGCGGTGGTGGCAGTGACACGCGCGACGGTGGTAGTGACACGTGTGGCGGAGGCAGTGACATGCGTGGAGGCGGCAGTGACATGCGTGACGGAGACAATGACACGGTGGCGGCAACAGTGACACGTGTGGCGGCAGCAGTGACATCCGACAGTGACATGGAAGTGGTGCAGTGACATGAATACATCTTAGTCACATATTTGTCTAAATTTAAATGTGGTCACTTTTTTGAAAATTGGCTTTATTTTAGTAATATTCAAGAAAAAACCCCGGAAAACAATGCTCAAAACTACACAAAAGCATATATATACGATAGTATATTCTATATACCTACCGGTGGAAAGCAATCTGACTGCATAGATGGAACAACCTAAGCTTGAAAACTGCCAATAATTTCTCTAGTCTTACACGGAAATTAAAAATTTACACACCCGCTTAAACTACTTTAGCAGGGGAGGATCTATGCACGGGCTATTGTAGACTGAAGCTCAGGGCAACTTAGAAAATTTTCAATTTTTTTAGTGTAAATTTTTTCATTTTTCACGTTTAGCCCACCCCTCTAATATTTAAACATAGTATAATTTCTATTCAGGCTAGGGCATCTCAAATTCCTGGATCCGTGCTACTCTCTAAAGGCAAATGCGGACAACTGAAATTATTAAAATCTTCAATAAAAACACGTTGTTCGGATATGCTAATTCATTGACATATGCTATTATTTTATATTCATTGACAAAAAATAGGTCGAAACAATATAATTATATAGATAATAAATGTCTAGCACTCTACCAGTGACAAAAATGTTTTACACAAAGTAAAAAATTGTACATTTTTCGTATACATTTTCAAAATCCTTTGCGCAGACCATATTTGTTTTTCTAAAGTTAGAGGACATACCAAAGTTATCAATCTGAAAAATCCACTTTTGTGAGTGCCCTAACTTTACAAACAAATATTGTTTATACAACTGAGGATGACATTTACAAAATTAAAATAAAGGGACTACATTTTGATATGCACAGTTGCACACTAAGGGATTATTGGAAGTGGGGCTTTGTCTTGTATATAATTGAAATAAAAATTTATACTAAATTTTATCAAGTATTTAGTTGTAAATAGTAATGGTCAAATATCAAGGGTAAATACCTAACAAGTTAAGGTGAGAACTTCATTGAGGGCAGGGGGTAATATTAAGCAATTGCTTACCTATGAATAGTGTATCTCTGCCATTGGTGATGGTCGGGGAAATCGTACTAGCTCTTTAAGTATCAGGAGTTGCTTTTCAGTACACACTTTGGTATTGGCTTTTATAATCATTTTCTTGAGCACCGGAGATTTGATTAAAAGAAGTTTTGCAAGCCTCAATTGGTTCTTAGCACCTGCAAATTCTCTCAGCATTACCATCCTCAGCTTATCCAGTTTCACGTCTGAATATTCTTCAATATCGAGAGAATGGAGGGAAGGACTTTGGGAAGAAACGGCATCATGAGAATCGTCTAGCTAAATGAAGCAAAAAAAACTCTGAATATCATAGTAGAACTTGCATGATAGAGACAGTAATAAAAGAAATAATTATTACTCACATAAATGGTGATATCTTGCAAGTTAGGCGCTATTCTAAGCAGAAAAAGTACAAATGCCATTCCCACAGTGTCTTCTAAACAAAAGCTACAAAGTTTAACAGCATTAAGGTGGACAGCAGTCAAACATGGCGTTGCTGGGACTCCACCAGAAGCTATACACTAAACATTACACCCAGATAAAAAATGATGTTAGCCTCCAGATATAAAACAATCAAGTTAACACAATATCAATGAGATCATAGATATTTTCAGACCTTTGTGAATTTATGATCAAAACATAAAAACCTTAGATCAGGCAGAGAACTGAAGAGCTCTACAACTTTAGAGTATCCTGATATTGAATGTTGTCCAATCTTCGTACAATCTACAACCCATACATCTTTGAGGACTGGGCTGTTTTTGAAACAAATATCTTTTATACGGCTAAAGAACTTAAAGCATTTGAGGTTAGGAGCATGAATCTCAAGAGATTCATATGTATATGTGGAAGAAATTCTGAGCCATAAATGTTCAAGTAGCGGGCAAGAAGAAACAAGACTTGCAAGTTGTTCTGAACCAATGCTTACCAAATCCATTTTAATAGCAAGAAGTTGGTTAAATCCTGTGAAATTGGAAGGCAGATGAACCCGATAGGAATAAAGTGAAACGTGTTTCAGATTTTTACATTTGAAAAACGATGAAGGCAATAGACATTGGCCAGCCTGAATTTTAAGTGTGAGGCCCTCAACATCACTTTTTGACAGAATAAGGAGTAAGTTGTCAATTTCAGGGCAATCTTTCAGTTTGGACAATGCAATTGTGACCTCTGTAATAGGACCTTCATGGTTCAGCACAATATGGAAGATACGCCTGACACATGTTAGGAATGCTGAATCCTTACTCACACTTGTTTTTGGCCAAAGTGTCTCATCAAGTTTAATGTGTGAAAGCTTGGTCCATGTATATTTCCAATTACTTGAGAGCACACTTGTCCTTACAGCTTCTAGATGGGGCAAGTGCGTTAAAATGGCCATCCTTAAACATTCAGGGAGGTTGCTAATGATATCATGATGGTAGTTCTTATCGATCAACATTCTCTGAAATTGTGGAATATACTTCTTTTAGTAACACACATATATGGGGAGGTTCAAATAAAGTGTGTTTACCGTGAGAAATGTGAAATGCAAACATTACACTTTTTTGCGGTTGCAAACGAGTTCCTCTAATTATGAAATTGCCAACATATTTTGAAGCAATTTGGGTCATAACAGTATAGAGATATTACTGTTTACTAGCATTGTAAAGACATCACATTAGGAAAGAAAGCATTAATCATATAACGGAAAACATGATTTGTTTTTGTCATATCCCGGGTAACGTTCTCCAGACTATTCATGACTTTCACATAAAATAAGCTCAACGTGTTCAAGGTGCAGTAACAAGACAACACAAATTGAATACACAAAGCTGATATCTAATAATACCTTTGTGACATCAGACACTGCCCACTTTAAATTAGGTGAGAGACAAGAAATTAATAATCATGTAGTTAAGGTTTTACATAGGAAAAGTAAAAAAAAATTGGGATAATAAAAAATGGAAGGTTGTCAAAGTACAGAGGGAGGAAGCTATCAAAACTAAAGAGGTAACAAACTAACAAAAAAAACACTTTTTCTAAAAGTTCTGAAGTTTATATTTTTTCAGATACTCCGCATTATCACTATTATCGTTGTTGTTTGAAAAAGAAAAAAGTTTCGATTTTAATAATCTCAGACCAAGACCAGTAATCGAACTGGAAAATTCTGCAAAGCATGTGTCTTTTGAGTGCCACAAATAGGCTTCGACGGAGTGAAAATAAGCACTACAAAACGCTAATAGTCGTTTCTAAGTATAAGAACTTCATATTCATAAGCGGAGATCGAATAAAACAAGCAATGTCAAGAAGTAGAGCAGCAACGTACTAACCTTGGTATCGAAATTTAGGCTCTGCAGAAACCGCCAAACGGTCAATTAAAAGTTAATAAAGATAGCTTTTTGGAAGTAATTTTGTTTTTTGGTTAAAAAAACCTTAAACGTGACGATTGCTGGGCTGGTTCTAATTTTAACCCCTTTGAATTATTGATATTCCTGAGGGGAAAAGCTGGAAGGAAGAAGCATCGTGTTTGAACTTTGAACTTGAGTAGCAATAAATTGTGGTAACTCTTTAACTATGGGCTTTGACATCAAAGAGGTAAGAGAGATAGTGGAACCAGACTTGGCAACTTCAGGTCAACAAAATCCAATCAGCACAGAAAGTAAAGTCTTCTATTTTCAACTTCACTCTTTGATGTTAAAAATCAGCCAAATTTCTTTCGTTTTACCTTTTTCGTTCGTTCCATTAAATTTGTCTCATACCATATTCGGTTATATTTGGATAGTTACAATTCGTTCTTACTTATTCACATTTTATCAATTCAATACCAACAACATAATTTTACTTTTTCTTAAAAATCACACCACACTCCTTTGTCAAAAACTTAGGGGGACGGGGTTGTATGTCGCTTACCTCTGCCCTGCTACGATTTGTTCTCTTCGACAGACTTTCACCTCCATAACAGTGTGATCGCTTCTCGGAAGCTTAATCCGGCTCGGTGTTCTTCGGATTTTATTTCTTTGGTGGATTTCGACCTTGTTGCTCGCCGGCATGAATCAGGTGGATTTGATGGTCAATTTTCATATGTATCCCTTCGAATTCAACCATAAATTAAAATAGACAAACTGGCAGACCAATTAGCTTAAATCCTTGTGTAAGGTGTTTTACAATTCTATCTATCAGTGTTCTAAAAGGCGTGAAGCGTGGCAAGACGTTGAGGCCAAGCCTCAAGCCTTTGTTGAAGCCTAGGCGGGAATAGGTGAATTCTAGGCATGAAAATGTGTTTTAGATTTTTATTGATAATTATTATCATTATATAGTGATATATGAAGAAGAAAATAAATGTCCAAAATATATTATACAAGATTGAGCCTAATTTTCACTTTGTTCAATATATATCATTTTTAAATGTATAAAAAGTGAATATAAAAAAATCAAATGTTATTGTGTTTTACGGTATTGGAATTCATATATAACATGTTTATAAAAGCATTTTATTTTTAAATTTAATTAGTTTTTTCTTTGCAAAAAAATATTTCATCTAAAACACTTCCGCCTTTTCACGCCTAAGCACGCCTAGGCTTACGCCTTCTCACGCCTTTGGTGGTCAACTATTGAGTTGACCACCTTTTCCACACCTTTCTATACTGCGAGGCGTTTCTCCACCGCCTCATGCCTAGACGCGTCTAGGTCTCGCCTTTTAACGCCTTTTAGAACACTGCTATCCATACATGGATAGAGTAATGTGAGGGTTGAAAGTTCCATATGTGTTTTAATTTTCTCATTTATTTTTAAAAATTTAAATTCATTAATATAATTTTTTAAATTTAATATTACAGTTCTTCATCTTTTTTTACTTCGAGTTTTTCGTTGTTTAAATTCAAATTTTGTTCTGAATTTTGTCTATGAATTATCATCGTTTTGAATTCTTAATGAATATTCTAATTTTCGTTTTAAAAATAAAAAATTGTGTACAAACAATTTGTATTAGTTGCTGGAGAAATGAGTATCTAGCTATGTAGCACCGATAAGGGTACAGGGATACGACAAAAAAAAATGTAGGATACGGATACAGGGCCATAACTATAAATATTAAAAGTTATGGGCGTGTATTTATAAATATTAAAAGTTATAGGGGTGTATTTATAAATATTAAAAAACACTTTTTAAAAAAAATATATACGAGTATATATTTTCCTTTGATGTCTACCCATTCATGCATTGAAGCATTTTACATTTTCAAGATATTTAGAAATGAATTCTTATTTTATCTCATATACTCCGGTGCATCTTGAAATATAAATATTCTCAATAAGTCATTAATTTAAAATGAGAAAAAAGTAAAACAACTACAGTTTGGTTGGAAATTATAAGTGAAAGTATACAATGTTCTAGAATAATGAAGATAGAAAACAATAGTTTAAAAGTTCTAATACATATTTCCGTTGGATCAATTAATTTCCAGGGATAATTAGAATTAGGGATATGCGGATGAGTGAATTAGGAATAAGCCCATTAGTTGTGTATCACATAGAAGCAAGATAAAACTTATTTTTAGCTTTTCGTTTATTAAGAATTTTATTATGTAAATTTTGGATGTTTTTTTTCAAAAAAAAAAATTGGAAGATTTTTCTTTTTTAAAAAAAATGATATGTGTATCCATCAGTATACGAGTATTCAAAATTTTAAAATAATTACCAAAAAATAGAAATTTTTAAAAATTGCAGATACGGCCCGGGAACGTATGGTACGAATATCCTAGAGTATTGGGTACGAAAACGTTTCCGATACGTCAATATGGTACCCTAGTGAAGTATCCGTGCATCATAGGTATGTAGACATTGTAGTGATTCAAATGGTACGTACATGTGTCAGGACTCAGAGAAGATATTACAGCAGGAATGCTTCACACGAACGGATGGTTTATTTTTAAATTTTCAATATTTTAATTTACTTTTAATCTAGAATACAAATTCAAGCTTATCGGGAGTTATCGCCACATTCTTGAATTGCCAACCTATCTATTTTTGAAAAAATCACAATTTGTTGGATTTGTTGAATTGCCAAGTGCCAACCTATCTAGTTTATTGTTGAAAAAATCACAATAAACTACGTTTCTACTGGAATGCAATGGAATCGAAAAGATATTGATATTAATGAGATATTTGTCTATACCGTTCCCACAAATGTTATGAATGAAAACAATGACAATGAGCCAACATCAATTGAAGAATGTCGGAAACGACAAGATTGGCCAAAATGGAATGAAGCTATTCAAGATGAATTAAAATCACTTGAAAAACATGATGTTTTTGGACCGATAGTCCCTACGCCAAAAGGCGTAAAACCTGTGGGTTTTAAATGGGTATTTGTGCGTAAACGCAATGAGAAAAATGAAATTGTTAGATATAAAGCCCGATTTGTTGCCCAAGGTTTTTCTCAAATGCCGGGAATCGATTATGAAGAAACCTATTCTCCAGTAGTTGATGCAACTACGTACATTAAGGTTTCTCATTGACATGTCTGTTTTTGAAAGGCTGCAAATGCGCCTAATGGATGTAGTGACCGCCTATCTATATGGTTCACTTGATACAGACATTTACATGAAAGTTCCCGGTGGATTTAAAATGCCTGAAGCTTATAGCTCGAAACCTCGAGACATGTTTTCCATTAAATTACAAAAGTCATTGTATGGACTAAAACAATCTGGACGAATGTGGTATAATCGTCTCACTGAATACCTTCTCAAAGAAGGATATAAGAATGATCCGATTAGTCCATGTGTTTTCATTCGGCGATCAAATTCGGGATTCGCCATAATTGCAGTATATGTCGATGACTTAAACATTATTGGAACTCCCGATGAAATTGAAAATGCTGCAAATATCTTATGAAAGAATTTGAAATGAAAGATCTCGGGAGAACCAAATTTTGTCTCGGACTTCAAATTGAGCATTTGAAGAATGGAATTTTCATCCACCAATCCAATTACACCGAGAAAGTGTTGAAGAGATTCTATATGGACAAAGCTCATCCTTTGACTTCACCAATGGGCATTCGATCTCTCAACATACACGATGATCCATTCCGTCCCCGAGAAGACGACGAAGAAATACTCGGTCCCGAAGTACCATATCTGAGTGCTATTGGAGCTTTAATGTATTTAGCTAATAACACTAGACCAGATATTGCATTTTCTGTAAATTTATTAGCTAGGGTTAGCTCATGTCCAACAAGACGTCATTGGAACGGGATCAAACACATATTCCGTTATCTCCGTGATACAATTGATCTCGGTCTATTCTACCACAAAGATGCAAAAGATTCTTTAATCGGATATGCAGACGCTGGATACTTATCAGATCCTCAAAAGGCAAAATCACAAACCGGGTACATATTTACTTATGGTAATACCGCAATCTCGTGGAGATCTATGAAACAGACGTTGACAGCTACATCATCAAATCATTCGGAGTTACTTGCACTTTATGAAACCGGGAGGGAATGCGTGTGGCTGCGATCTATGATTCAACACATCCAAAATGAATGCGGTATGAAGCCAATTACTTGTCACCCGACTGTGATCTATGAAGACAACACTGCGTGCATAGCTCAAATTAAAGAAGGCTACATCAAAGGAGACAGAACAAAACACATATCACCAAAATTCTTCTCTACTCATGATTTGGAGAAAGATGGGATGATCAACATTCAACAAATCAGATCAAGTGAAAATCCAGCCGATCTCTTCACCAAATCTTTACCCCCGAAGAAGTTCACAGAACTTGTACAGAAAATCGGCATGCACCGCCTTCAAAATTTATGTTAATTTCAGGGGGGTATTTGAATGTACTGCACTCTTTTTCCCTTCATCAGGTTTTTATCCCACTGGGTTTTTCCTGATAAGATTTTTAACGAGACAGTACATCCAAATACAACGACATTATAAGTCGTAATTTTTACCCCTTTAATTTCACACTAATTTTCACAATAAATTTTTAACATAACAAATACCTATTCAAGGATGAACATTCAAGGGGGAGTGTTGTAAAATGGCTAGAATGACATGTGTGAATTGTCCATCCTTGTAATCAGGACACCTAGCTAGTTCTCGTCCTTACTCATCAAACACAAGTCCTTGTAATCACACACATGGCTAGATTCAATACTGCCAGCAAATCATGTAGAATCATTCCTAGATGATTCATCCCATGCCTGGCTAGTATAAATAGGGCTTGCTCAAACTCTTGTAAAGCAATTCAGATACTCAAAAATTTCAGAGATTAAGAAGAAGTAATTTAGAAGTTTTTATCTATATATCTATCTCTTAAATCTGTTCTTCATTTCCTTCATTTCACAACATGATTTACATTATTCACAAGTGTATGTCCCCGTAATCCCGTTCTCAATTGTCATGACATTCTAAACTTATGACAAGACAATATTCTATAATTCTCATATTTGTCATAGTCAATATATCATGGGAAAAGATGAAACCTACCCAGGGGTGGCCCGGTTCCGGTCTGACTGGCCCAAGAATCGGACCAGACCACCACTGTGCGGGACCAGACCGGCCCGGTTGACTAGGACCAGTTCA